GCAAATACAACACCGGGTAGAAGAGCCAGTACTCAGTATAAATTAAAGCAGCAGCTTCAAATTGTGTGTGGCTCGTGGTATGTTCTTTACCACATATTTTCAATCTTAAAAAGGGACTGGGGTGGGGGACATGTGAGGAGAGGGCTCAAAGACGGGGGACGCATGCTTTGCCTCAGAAGGCCCAGGTTCAATCCCTGGCACTGCACAGTCCTTTAAGTACTACCAGGAACAACCTCTGAGTACCACGTGGCCCAAAAAACTAACATAAATAAAAAACCAGAGTCTGTTCCCACCCTGCCAAAGGCCCAGCACTCCACACACCCTCATCTGGCTCCCGCCACTGCCAGAGAATGACCCCCTCTTCACAACCCATCTCAGAGCTGAGAGAAGACACCTGCAGCTGATGTCCCTGCTCCAAAGCCCCGTAGGCAGGCGGCCACACATGCAGCTGTGCAACACTCCCAAGCTTCACAGAGCTGATGACCCAGGAGAAACAGCAAATCAGAGGGGGAAACTGAGCAGCAGCCCACTAAGCTCACTGAGTGAAAACAGTGACACAGAAAGCCCGAGTCACAGCTGACAGCTCAGGAAATCCTCAGGCCAAGACTTCAACAACACCATTATGAGACATACGTTGTAATAAGCAAAATAAACTATTTTGCGTTAGCTAAGGCTTGGGGGGAGGGGGCTGGGGACACTGGTGGAGGGAAGGGCACACAGGTGGTGGAACTGGTATTGGATTATTGAATACTTGAAACAACTACTGCGAGCACTTTGTAAATCAGTGTTTAAATATAAAGTTCCATACGACAACAACAAAAAGCCAGAGTCATTTACCTTATCATTCTCCTGAAGCAGGAATAACGATCGCACATATGAAAACCTCCATCGTCAGGTTAAAAGATACAATTATTTTAATATTCCCGTGATGAAAACTGTCATATGCATAAAGTACCTACATCTGGATAGACAGTTATCTGGAAGTAAAGTGCCTGGGAGGTTAGCTGAGTTGTAAGCTGAACTCGCCTCTTTGTCTAGGAAGCACCATTTTCACTTGAAAGAATGACTGACAGTCAAATGATGGTTATTCAGACTTAGCTATTTGAAAGTTCTTTTTCCTAAAAAAGAACTCAAGAAAAACAATTGGCAGCATTTTCTGCCAATGAAAAAAACTCAAGAGCTTTCAAGTGAAAATTAGAATTTTAGAAAACGTGTATCTGCAGTCATTAGTTTGACAGCTTCCCAATGCTTAAAATTTCTATGAGATTAGTAGTATACAGACACACATTTTTAGTAGCTCACATGGAAATGTGTCAACTTCCGGAAGATGTGCATAGCTCAACGAACTCAATGAATTAATGATTACCTAAATGGTGAGTGTCTTAGAATTATGCACAGTTTAAAGGCGCCAGAGACTGCCTCTGGCCCCGAGAGGGTTGTGGTGTTGGCCTAGCACGCGGCAGGCCTCTGTTCAATCACTCGCAGAGCACATGGCCCCCAAGGACCGCTAGGGGTCGGTCTGGAGCTTAGAGCAGGCACAACCTGTGACCAATGGAAAAAGTCCCTTTCACATGCAAGGTAAAGGTAATGGGTTAAAGGGCAACAGAAAGGGGTGGCAAGACTGCAGGGGGGGCTGCATATGTCTTCCAAGCAGGGGCCCCCATCAGATCACCGCACCACATGCCCCTAAACATTGCTGGGGTAGCCCAGGAGGGCCCCAAGTACTCCAAAACAACAGAAAATAATATTTTTCATTAAAATATTAAATAATGAATGATTTTACCAACAGGCTGGAGTGATAGCACAGCGGGTAGGGCGTTTGCCTTGCACGCAGCCAATCTGGCCGACCCAAGTTCAATTCCTCCGTCCCTCTCGGAGAGCCCGGCAAGCTACCGAGAGTATTCGATATGCCAGACACAGTAACAACAAAGTCTCCAATGGAGACGTTACTGGGCCCACTCGAGCAAACCAATGAACAACAGGAGGACAGTGACATTGATTTTACCAACATCATTTTAACATAAAGTAAAGTAAAGGCCCTCCCGTTGATCATCGATTTGCTCATCGATTTTAACATACTAAATTTCTAATAAGGTTGTAAGTATTTATAAATAAAACACATAAATAGAGACCAGAGCAGTGAATCCCAGAAGACAGCAGCTCGCAGGAGATGTCTCTGGACCCCATACCGAGCCAATTCTACCGGGGCACCTAGGATGGAGCGGGTGTGCCTTCTCCACCTGCCCCAGATGAAACCCTGATGGCCACGAGCTTCCAGAAGCAAAACACAGGTACACAGGCACCAGGACTAAGACTCCCGGCCTCATGGCAGCAGCAGGGACAGGGCCGTCCCTCCCTGCATCCCTGCCCGCTTGGGGTCTGGCTGTCGTGCCCACAATCCGCCTCCAGGCGCCATCTCAGTGCATCAACAGTCCTGGTCCAGAGACTCCCAGTGAATCTCAAAATGGATTAGCTCCCTACAGAGACGTCTCTGGACCCCAGCCAATTCCAATTTTACAATTTAGAAGCGTGCGGCCGCAACCTCTCATGATATTCATAATAAGCAATAGAAAATAAATTATCTAGCATCTGCCCCTGGCAGGCAGGCTTGAATGGTGATAAGGAAAATTCTAGCAAACCAAAAAGTTAGAGAGAGAATATGGGGAAAATTGCCTGCCATAAAGGCAGGGGAGGGCTGAATGGGGGTGAGGGAGGATATTGGGGACAGAGACTATGCACTGGTGGAGGGATGGGTGTGCGATCGCTGTATGACTGAAACTCAAACATGAAAGCTTTGTAACTGTATCTCACCGTGGAATTCAATAAAAATAAATGAACACATAAATAAAAGCTCTTTGGGGACCTTGATTTTTTTGAAGGGGGGGTCACGCCTGGAGGTGCTCAGACTTACTCCTGTGGAACTTGGGGGCACACATGGGATGTCGGGATTGAACCCAGGCAAGACACGGGTTTGCCCAGCTTACCCACTATATGCCTCCAGCCTGGGGTGGGGGGGGGGTGGCCTTAATTTTTATGACGTTAAAGAGATTATGACATTAAAAAAATTGAGAACTACTGTCTGATTCTGTTTCCAAATGTGCAAAGTCATTTACCCTACCCATCGCAGGCCCACAACAGTGCAGGCATCTGAGTAATATTCCTTAGACTGCAAAGCAAATGGGGCCCAGAGTAGGACAGCTGCAAGCGGCAAGCTCCTGAACGTCACGTGGTCCCCAAGCACCACGCCTGGGTAGAGCCCTGAGGTCCTCAGCACTGGCGCCACGGGGCTGAGAAGCATCACATCCTCGGGGCCCTGCATGAACCAGCAGCCTGGCAGCTGAGAATCATGGTGGGGGAGGGGGTTCCAGTACTCCTGAGCACCATTCCCCCACCCCCACCACACACACACTAAAATGAATACAAAGTATATAATCCATAGCAGAGATCAAATCCTAACCATAGTAATACTTGGGGCTACCCTTGTATATGATCTCCTGCTAACTAGCAATGTATTTCTTTTATATTTATTCTTTTCTTTTTTTTAATTTTTTGGTTTGGGGCCACAGTGGCTCAGTACTAAGGGATCAGTCACTCTTGGCAGTGCCTGAGGGAGGATGAGATGCACAGAAAGTACCTGGGGTTCCCACACTCAAATTAAGTCCTCGGCCCACTAAGCTCTCTCTCCAGTCCATGTATCCCTGTTTTCAAGGGAGGGTGTTACTACTTAGGCACATACTAGGTCTCTAGATATACAGGAAATTTAAAAAATTGGTCCAGACATATAAAAAAATAATTTTTAACATCCACCCCACTGTTTTCATACCATTCTTCCATCATTTCTCTCTTAAAATTCACTTTCATTTGAACTGAGGTAGGCGGTAATTAAAATTACCAATTTCAATTGAGACTTTTAAAAACTCTTACAAGACAAGCCAGCCAAATCCAGGCAAATCATCCTGAGAACCTGCCAACTGATTCCAATTTTCTCTAAGTTTCTGGTTCAGCACAAGCTCTGTTCTACCCTGACCTAACGAAAAAAATACACACACACACAAACTTCCTGTTAAAATTGGGTTCGCCAATTCAATCAGCTTAATCAATGGCTGAATAAATAGCAGTACTCCTAAAAGAAAGAAAGAGAGAGAGAGAGAGACAGAGAGAGAGAGAAAGAGAGAGAGAAAGAAAGAAAGAAAGAAAGAAAGAAAGAAAGAGAGAGAGAGAGAGAAAGAAAGAAAGAAAGAAAGAAAGGAAGGAAGAAAGAGAGAAAGAAAGAAAGAAAGAAAGAAAGAAAGAAAGAAAGAAAGAGAGAGAGAGAGAGAAAGGAAGGAAGGAAGGAAGGAAGGAAGGAAGGAAGGAAGGAAGGAAGGAAGGAATTGGGCTTGCACTACAAGAAAGACCTTTTGGAACCTAAAAAAACAATTCAAACTGAAAATGGCTATGGCTCACTCCAGAAACAGTCTGAAGATCCCGAATGGGATCTAGGTGTGGCAGTAACAAAACAAAAAAATGGGAAACGTGTTTGATGTATGTTTTTGACAATGCAGTTAAAGTGCCAGGCCTCACTTCTAGCATTTTATGTACAATAATTGCTAACAGTCCTACAAATCTTGATGGTTATCATCCCCTTTTGTTCCGGCATTTATCAGAACTGCATTGCACACTGTGAAACTATCATCCTATGATGCCATACCCTTCCTGAGCCCTGGAGCAGACGTCAAAGCATTGATTCACATTAAAACGAGATTGTCACTCTCAGGATCGATGATTCAAGCCTGATGCTTCTTCGTCAGCTGGCAATGCAACCCAGGGAAGAGAATGCATGCTTTGCACAGAAGAGGCCAAGTAGGGTCCCCACAAAACAAAATAATACAGAAAGCATTAGCTCACTAATATTTTTATAAAAGAAAAAGAGGACATACTCTTTATAGTCATGAGATCCCCAAACTGACTTGCTCACAACAACTACTTGAGTGAAACAAAACAGCCTTGCAGGAACGTACCTGTTGGAACCATCCTTCATATGGACTTTGGCATAAAGGACATCCACCATGCCAGGGTCGTCATTCATGTACTCTATCCCCGACATCTCCACTTCCAAAGGTTTGCCCCCGGAAATGTCACTGCAAAGAGGAAAGCACAGTGCTTTGATCATTGTTGAAGCTGGGAGTTAGTAGATTGTGAAACGTGGCTAATAAACATGGTCAAGAGAGATGGCGGCCGCACGGGAGCCTTGTGGACAGCAGGTTTGAGCTGGGGGCGGGGGGCAGCAGGGGCCTCATGGGAAAGGGGGTGTTCTGGGCCGTCCTTCACGCCCGACCGAGGTCACCAGCTGGCCCCCACGAGTGGCTCTCCGGCACGGCCACGGCCCCGGAGGCACAAGGACTTAGCACAGAGAGCCACCCGCTTGGAGCAGAAAAGCAAATGGACTATGTGTTAAACCGCGCCAGCATGCCTGCCCGGAGGGGAAAGGGTGTTGCTCCATTCGCCCAATCCTCTCTGGAAAGAAAGATGGCGGCCGCACGGGAGCCTTGTGGACAGCAGGTTTGAGCCGGGGGCGGGGGGCAGCAGCACAGAAACCAATCTCCTAACTATCTAACTTTTAATAGAAATACATCCAGGGTTAATAAGTGAAACAGCAGAAATCCAAAACCGCACGGCTGCAATCGCGGCCACGCGACATCATTTTATTCTTAAACCAAGCTGTAGAAAGCAAATCATTTCACAACGCTGTTTCAGCATATCTGATTGGGGGGGGGTCGTAAACTCTAAACAATAATTGTGCATCTTCTATCGAAACAATGTATCTAGTCAAAGTAGATAGAGTATTAACTAGAACTCATCTGCCTCACAGGAATTGGGAGGGGTGGGAGGTGGGGTTCTATTGGGGTTCAAGGTTAAAAATAAGTATTGGTAAAGGGAAATGTGTTTGATACTTACATGACTGAGACCTAAACCCGAAAGCTCTGTAACTTTTCCCACAGTGATTCAATAAAGAAATAAACTATTAAAAAAATAAATAAATAAAATTTCGTGGAAGCACAAAAATAAATAAATAAATAAATAAATAAACATGGTCAAATAATACAAAACTTAAGCTGCTGAGGTTTCCTAGTTTTACTAGCAACATTATCTCATTTGCTGATTCCCAAATACATGTTCAATGCACACAAAGGAAAAGTACAAGTACTTGCAAATTCAGGTGGTGCAGCCCGATCCCTTGTCAAAGCCAAGACACTGACAGCTCTGACTGACTGGGATAGTGTCAGTGTCGTGACATTTATCAAAGTAGAGATAAAGATACTAATTACCCAGCTCGTGTTTTACTCCCTCATTTCTACAAGTTACAAGCACTATTTCGCTCATCTTACAATGGTGGAGGTGTTAACTGTATCACACCTTTAAGAGCAATTTGACAGTGGCAGGAGAGACAGTACGGGGCAGTTAGGTGCTTGCCTTGCATGTAGTCAACCCGGATTCGATGCCCAGCACCACATATGAACCATCCTCAGAGCCCCCTCCCCACAAAATAGAAACTCTCTGTGGGGTCGGGGTACTGTAGGGACTAAAGTACTTGTACAACATGTGGCTGACCCTGGTTTGATTCCTGGCACCACGTGGCCCCCTGAGCACAGAGCCAGGAGTAGGCCCTGAGCACTGCCAAGTGTGGTCCAAACTTCCCCCACCCCCAACCAAAAAATAATGAGACTCCTTTGTTCAAGCAATTCAATTTCTTGGTCAAACTTAGAAAATAAGTATGGGGGCTGGAGCGATAACACAGTGGGTAGGACATTTTCCTTACACGCAGCCGACCCGGGTTCAATTCCCAGCATCCCATGTGGTCCCCCGAGCACCACCAAGAGTAATTCCTGAGTGCAGAGCCAAGAGTAACCCCTACGCAGGGCCGGGTGTGACTCAAAGAGAAAAAGAAAGAAAAAAGAAAGAAAGAAAAGAAGTATGAATTCAATTGCATAATCACTGATAGCTCATAAAAGAAAGTTCTTCCTGACAGGAGAATTTCAACTGATAAACGCTGACTAATGGAATTATATTATCACCATTTTGCAGCCTTGATAAAAATAAAGGATGGAGGCAATGATCACCACCCACTGCTGTTAAAACTATTAAAAGTTTAGGGGGCGGAGCGATAATACAGTGAGTAAAGCACCTGCCTCGCACACAGAAGACCCGGGATCAATCTCAGTCTTCTTTATAATTTTTTTTGGTTTTGAGTCACACTTAAATAGTGCCTAGGACTCTGTCCCGGCATCCCATATGAGCCCACCAGGAGTGATCCCTGAGCTCAGAGCAATGCCAGGAGTAAGCCCTGAGCATCAACAAGTGTGGCAAAACAAAAACAATATTTTGAATTATCGGCTGGAGCGATAGCACAGCGGGTAGGGCGTTCGCCTTACAAGCGGCCAACATGGCCGACCCGAGTTCGATTCCTCCGCCCCTCTCGGAGAGCCCGGCAAGCTACCGAGAGTATTCGATATGCCAGACACAGTAACAACAAAGTCTCCAATGGAGACGTTACTGGGCCCGCTCGAGCAAATCGATGATCAACGGGAGGGCCTTTACCTTTACCTTTTACCTTATAGGGGACAGAGAGATGGCTCAAAGGTTAGTGCACATGCTTTGCATGCAGGAGCGCCCTTTGCCCAAACAGTCTTAAGGCCTGACACTGTGTGGTCCTGCAAGTACCCTGGGGAGCAATGCTCAGGGTTGGGGGCACTTTGCTGGAAGAAGCCTGTGAGCACTGACAAGTGTAACTCTCACCGAGAAGTCCATGAGAAGGCCAGGTGTGTCTGTCACTGCTCCCTTGCCCCCCACACCCCCCACATACACATACAAAAAACCCTCCAAACATAAAAGGATATATGATGAATGAGTCTTTCTGGGGACACGGAATCCACAGCGACAGAAGTCAGAACAGTTACTTCTGGAACAAGTGAATTTTCTGGAAAAGATCCCAGGGAGCTTTGTGCATTGACAGCAATGTTCAACACCACAATCTGGGTGCAGCAACGTGGCTTATACGTTTATTCAACTCAACAACTGCTAAGATTTGTGTATTTTACTGTAAGTAAACAGTATCTCACGGGGGGTGGGGGGGACATATTAAAAGCTATGTGATGGGGTGGCATGTGGCTCTGTGGCAGACCACATGCACTGTACATGCAAGGGCCAGGCATGACCTGCCCCATCCTGGCACTGCCCAACTGCCCCTTCTCAGGGCACAGATGGGTGTGACCCCCCCAACAACAGCAACAACAAACAAAGCATGGGAGTATCTATATACCAAAGTGTTCATGGCGGTTCTTTTTAGGGAGTGGAGATGACATGCAACGTTACTGGTTTTCTGTAATTTGGGAATTTTCTATAATCATCAAATACTACCTTTATGATAAGCAAAACCCTATCATTCTGCATTCCTTCGAAGCCCTTTGGACAGAACTACACTTCAACCAGAAAAGGTCTTGCGACAACAAACTGAAACCTAACTACAAGTCACCTCGCCACATGGCTTCAAGTGCATGAGGCCAGCGACTCACTCCATCTTTTTTCCTGTTGTTTTTTTTGTTTTGTTTTTTGGGTCACACCCAGTAATGTTCAGGGGTTCCTCCTGGCTCTGCACTCAGGAGATACTCCTGGCGGTGTTCAGGGGACCATATGGGATGCTGGGAATCGAACCCGGGTCGGCCGCCTGCAAGGCAAACGCCCTACCCGCTGTGCTATCACTCCAGCCCCCGACTCACTCCTTGTCCATTCCTGTCTTCTATACCCTTCACTCCTTTCACAGAACCGTACAGGAAATGGGAACTTGATGAACCCTAAGGGGCTGTTCCACTACGAAGGGAACTGCTCTGACGATCTGGAGAAATGGATGGGCACATGCCTATTCTATCACTGAGGAGCATGTGCTGGCCCTAAGACAAAAGGGTTTCAGAGTCCATTTAAAGATAATTCTTACAACTTTCAGAAGAAAAATTGCTGATACTGAACTGGGGCAGGTGGGGCTGGAGTGATAGTACAGCAGTTAGGGCATTTGCCTTGCATGTGGTCAACCTGGGTTCTATCCCCAGAATCCCATTTGGTCCTCTGAGCACCACCAGGAGTAATTCCTGAGTGCAGAGCCAGGACTTAACCCCTGAGCATCGCCAAGTGTGACCCCCCCCCCAAAAAAAGAACAAGGGCAGCAGAGAATTGTTTTTTTATTGGGGGGGGATGTAACCTACAAATGATAACAGTAAATATCCTCTTAAAACTTCAAGTCCACGGGGCCAGAGAGATAGTACAGCAGGAAAGGCACCTGTTTTGCATGCAGCAGACCCAGGTCTGGTCCCCAATGTCCCACAAGCACCTGAGCACAGAGCCAGGAATAACCCCTGAGTATCACCAGGTGTGGCCCAAAAACCACCACTACCACAACAAAAAATACTTCAAGGTCACATTATTATGAAAGATCAGGATTTTTCTCAGGGGAAAAAAAACAACTAAATAACCCGACTACCATAAGTTTTGGTTTTGGGCCACACTGGCCCTGCTCAGAGCTTACTCCAGGCTCTGCATGCAGGAATCACTCCTGGTGAAGCTTGGGGGGCCATATGGGATACTGCAAAACGAACCCAGCTCAGTTGTGTGCAAGGCAAGTGCCCTTCCCGCTGTACTATCGCTCCAGTCCATTTTTTGCAATGACAGATACTGAGGAAAGTAGAGTCCTGATCCTGAATATCCTTATAATCACCTCTAATAATTGGGATATTCAAAAACACAACCCAAACTCTAAACTGTTCTCTGAGAGCTGTAGCCTCAGCAACATGCATGTATCTCTACTCCAGTAACAGTAGAAGAATTCATCTGAAAGACTTTAATTCAGTCCCATCGCTAAGAAAACTGATTTGGAAAGGAGTTTAACACGCACTGCACATCTAAGTTTTCTCCGTTCTAAGCCTGCATGGTGGGGTGAACCGAGGGCACTGTACCGGTGGTTTAGTTTTCCACTGAGATGTTTCTCCTAGGTTGTACTTGATGGTTTGGGGACTCAATCTCTGAAGGCCAATACAGAAAAGATTAATGTGAACACTCTTGTATCGTCTGCAAAACTCCCGTCACAATGTCA